ACAAAGGTGCCCCGTTCAAAGAAGGTAGCTGATTCCACTCTGCTCCGAATGTGCATTGCTCTTTACAATCCTGGGCCCAAACCAAACATTAAACCTAGCGGCATCTAGTCAGTTCCAACTCATAGCAACCCTGGAGGACAGAAAAAAAAAAAAATCCATAGGATTTCCAAAACTTGTATCTTTACAGAAGTAGACTGTCACATCTTTCTCCCAAAGAGGAGCTTAAAAGGTTTGGTCTACCAACCATTCCATGAGCAGCCAAGTGGCTAACAGCTACACTCCCAGGATTTCTCACAGTCCTGGAAGATTCCAGTTGTTAAAAGTTACCACCTAGCCGATTTATAAGGAGGAAAATGAAGAAATGCTATCCAAAACTTGAACCACTGAAATTCACTTCACTACCGGTTAAAACAGTGGCTTCTTTCCTACATATTAAATTTCTCTTCAAGAAACAATATCCTAACTATAAGTTCAGCAGTTCCCACCTCCCCACCCCCCCATTAAAATTCCCTACAGCACAGGACCTCTGCATCCCTGGGGAGTAGGTTTGAAATGCAAATTTACAGGCCGCCTTTCAAGAGGCTGTGTTTGAACAAACCCTGGGTGAGGCACCCTCGCTCCAGAGATACACATCTGGCAATCTCCGGGGTCGAACCAATGTGTGCCATTACGCCTGGATGGCGCGGTAGGAAAGCCTGCTGGTGTTTTTTCAGCGTTCGCCGGTTTTCTCTCGTGCCTGCGCCCACAATCTCCACCCACTGTCCAGCCCTGTTCTTACCCGCTAGGTTGTTGTAGCAGTCGGTTTGCGTGGTGTGCAGGATGCTTTCTTGCTCTGGTGTGAGAGCGGGGCCTTGAGGCCCGAGATTTGGGATCGGGGAGGGCAGACTTGGGTCCAGACCCCGCAGCTGTAGCAGAGCTCGGTGGTACCTGCTCACGGCATCTCGGTATTTCCCCTCCCGGTAGCGCTGGTTCCCTTTCTCCTTGTACAGCTGAGCCTCCTGGAGTCGCTTCTCCATTGCACTGTCGCCTGAGCGCACCTGCGGAATTGGGAAGCCAAAGAATTGGGTGGAGGGCTGCAGAAGGCAGGAAATTAGTCTTCTCCGGGAGCGCCTCCCCTGGGAAGTGAGCTTTGCTTGTTCCTACTACAGCCCCTTCCTCTCCTCTCTATGGTATTTTTCAACCTCCGCAAACGCAGAGATTAATCGGGAAAAGGACGTGGGACCAGGAAAACTGAAGATTAAGGGATTCAGCAAGGGAGACTCTGAGATGAAGTGGTTTCCCCCCCCCAAAAAAAAAAAAATCAAAGTCCCTAGGGAATTATGGCAAGGGTGCGAAGCCCGGCGGAATCTGCGTCCTGCTTTTGGACCAGGAGCCCTTAAATGGCTAAAGGTGAAGTGGGAAAAGCGCTCGGCTGATAACCAAAAGGTCATCGGTTGGAACCCACTAGCCGCTCCACGGGATGAAGACGTGGTCGTCTTCTCCTATAAGGACTTACAGCCTACACTTACTACACTCGGTCACTTAGGGTCGTTATGAATCAGAAACTACTGGAAGGCAGAGAGGGTTTGGTTTGGTTCTTTTGGGCACACCCCCCTCTAACCTGGAAGTGGATGGAAGTAGGCGGGGACGACAGTTAAAAAGAAATCCTAGTCCTTTATTTATACTTTTTCCGCAAGCATTTGTTGATGTCTGTAGTGCGACCTGGGGAATCGATGTCCACGAGGTCTGTGCATCCGCACCCGCCGCTTGCGGTAAAGGCGGCCGGCCACATAAGCCCCTCGGTTGGAAGCCCGCACCGACTCCTCTCCCGGAAGACGACAGAACTCGGGCTTACGGGCGGAAGTACCGAGGGTCAGAGCTGCCAATAGTTTAGTCTCCTGGGGGGGGGGGGATCCCGCGCATTGCGTCCCTCCATCCAATCAGAAGCGGCCCTGGAAAAGCAGTCGGCCGAACCCCGCCTCTCCAGCCTCGCGGGAAGACCAAACTCGGGAGGAGGGAAGGGGGGGAAATCACCAGCACTTCCGCCAATTGGAAAAAAAATTCGAACCATCACAGGTGACCAATCGGAACTTCAGGTAACTATTCAAGTTGGCCAATGAGAAAGATGAAAGGGGGTGTTAGGATTCTGTTGCTGGGCAGAAATGGAGGCATTTAACTTAAGGGGTAGTGTTCCCGGGTTCTGGAGCGCCCTTTTATTAGGCAGAAATGTAAATGCCAGAAGGCCTTCATGCTGTAGCATCTTACTTTATGATCTTTTTAAAAACAAATAAGAGCATCTACAGTAACTATCAAGAAAGTGCTGCAAGCATAATTACTAGGGGGGGGAAAACAGCAAACTCTAAAGGCTGCAGTTGGCAGTAGGACAGGAGCATGGACTGTGAGACAGTGACAGGAGAGTGTGAGAAGGGTGCTTCGGGCGGCTACGCAGGAACCTTGGTTGGAAGTGCGGAAAAACAGGCGCGTACAGGCTTCCGTGCTACGAGGCACTTGAGCCGCAGCCAGCCTTTTCCCGGCTAGGCCTCCGGTGTGGCTGCGCAGTAAAGTTGCGGGCGGCGATTGGCTCACGAAGTGAAAGGGGGCGGGCGGGAGAGGGCGGAGCAATCGGCGTCCTGTGCGCGCGCCCGCGGCTGGGGGACCGAGGGCAGCAGGAAGGGGACCAGCTTCGGTCTGCGTTGTTGGGAGCTCCGTGGGCTGCAAGGGGGAGGGGAGAGAGGAGACACAAACACGACGTAGCGGAGGCTGCGCGCGGCCCTCGCAGCGTGCGTGCGTGCGCTCGCTCGCGCG